CAGAGCATGCAGGCCTCTTAGGTAGGTGTCTGGTGTCCCTGACAGCGGGAAATGCTCACATTCCGAAATGTCTCCTGCAACCCCTACACTAGAAAAGCGGTGGCAGAGGAGGTTTGAGATCAGCTTCCTAGTGTAGTATTCTTTTTTTTTAAAAAATATATCTGGTACAGAGTCTCACTGTGCAGCTGAGACTCGTAGTGATCCTCCTGTTTTCAGCCTCCCCAGCACTGAGTTTACAGGTGCACGCTACCACACTGGGTCTTGGGGGCGGCTTGGTGCACCTGGGGGTGGGGCTGGCACAGTATTCAGTGCTAGGAATCAAACCCAGGTCTCTGGACTTGCCTAAGCAGGCACACAGTCCACTGCTGGCCCCCAATGAAGTTTTGACCGAGCTCCCTTAGAGCTCTTCCCATCCCAGTGCTCTATGGCAGCCAGGCAGCTTTGTGTGAATGTTTCAATGCTGATGTTTGTAGGCCCTGCGGAGTCCAGTACCTCACAGTGTCAAGGTTGTGGGCTAGGAAACAGTCCTCCAGAGGGCCTAGTGTAGGAAGGAACTAGGCGGCTGTCCTCAGTGGTGGGAGGGACTTTGTATAAAACAAAAAGAGTAAAGAGCCAGAGGGTCAGTGGGTGCCTTGTTATGCTTACCATTTCCAAGGTCAGAAGAAGGTTGAAGTTTGGGGGGCTGCTGTGTGGTTCTTGGCAAACAGGAGCCACAGTTACCTTGCGTGTGCACATGCATACCCATATGCGCACGCACATGCACACACACACACACACACACACACACACACAACTGCGCACTCACATGAGTGCATTGCCTGATATCGGTGGGGAATGGAAGACCTCCATTTAGTTCCGCTAAGAGACTGAATGCGATATCACACCCTCCTCCTCGCTTTCCTGCCCTCCCCAGTAGCCACAGAGATGGACGCGAAATGGAGAGAGGAATGTGCAATTCTGGGGTCCTCTGTCTTTCACATCCCTTGACAGAATGCAAATCACCGAGCAGTCCACAGTCCATTTAACAGTCATGGCGCTAGGATTTCCGGAGCCAACCGCCCCCATCTCTTCCAGCATGGCCCCTTATGGGAGAGGTCACACCCCACTGTCCCCCCTTCTCCCAGAACCAAGACATCAGTGAGCAGCTAACCAAGTGCCGTCATCTTCTCACTGGCCTTTCACGTTTGGAAGGTTTTGATTAAACTCGTTTCCTTCTAGTGTTTGCTGAAGAGTGGGATCCATCAGTGTGTCTGAGCTGGTTCCTAATGGATGTTTTACAAAACACTTGGACATTTTGGTGCATTGTCTGAGACCTGGGATTTTTCATCCTTCTAAAAGAAATGTTTTAAAGGTTTTTTGGAACTGTGTAGATTTATTGCTGGGTGTCTGCCTCCTTGTGTGGGGCTCTGCCTTGGCATGTTTATGGCTGCGAGGTGACAGGAGAGGTTGTATGAAGAGACCTTTTCACTTAACCAGTTTGTTGTGGCTTGTGTTTAGATGTCCCCCAAAGCCTCTTGAGGCCATACATGGTGCTTTTTCAGAGGTGGCTGGATCTAGAGTGTGACGCTGGGACCAATTCATGGGGCAGTGCTAGGCTCTAGGGCACTAGGACTAAGGGGGTGGGTGTTATCTTTCCTAAGTAGCCTTCATAAGATATAAGGGACAGAAAGAGCTGTGGTCAACCCTTGTTGCTTTTGCCACCTCGTGGGCACCATGAACTGCTCTCCTCTGCAATGCCCTCTGCCAAGCCTTCTGTCTTGAAGCCAGCTGAGTATGAACTGAAACCTCTACAAACTGTGAGCGAAGTAAGGTATTTTGTCTCAGCGGAGAGGGAAAAGTAGCTAAAACAAGTTACTGCGGAACCAAGATTCCACTGAATTTTGCGGTTTGGGATGCAGTTAGGGTGGGTGTTGCGTTCCCTGGGTCCACATAGATGTTTGGAATAAAGACAGGCTAGACAGAATCTAGACAGACGTTTGGAATATAGACATAGATATTTGGAATATATGTTTGTTCCATACCCTCCCACCTGACTACACAATGCAGAAGTGCAGCTTTGAGCTCCTTGTGATAGAAGTCCTCTCTTGAGTTTCTTTAAGTCGAGAGCTCTGCTAGTGTGTGTTTGTAGATCACGTTAGAGTTTCTTTACAGACACTTAATTACTTGGCTGGGGTTTTAAAGAAGAAGAAATGAAAAGTCTAAAATTAAACTATTGGGAGTCTTTGTGCATCAGAAATCATCTAGAGATGCAGGCAAGTGTTTTTGAAGTTATGCTGGAAGAGAATAGGGCAATAGCTGTTTGCCAGAGCCTTGTGCAGAATGTATCTTTCTGATGAACAGTTATTCTGAGCTTAAAGAATGAATTTAATAATTGACTTTGGTTTAAGTTTAGTGATCATTTATTGCTTACACTGTGTCATGGTGGACTCCTGGCACCTATTATTTAATTTAGCCCTACCAGGAATATTGGGTGATAGATTACTTAAGATTTTATAGGAGGTCAAATTCCGCATTTCACTGGAGCGCGAGCTTCTGCGCCTAGCCTTAATATGTCTGGTGAGTGAGCGCATTGGGAAAGTTGGGTTAATATAATATGGGGTGGTGATGAATGAGTATGGGTAAAGACCCAAAGCTGGCGAGGGCCAGACAAAGTCGCAGTGTTACGGTAGCCTTGGCCCATCAGAGAGCCGAAGGGCCCGATAAGAAGAGAGGTGGGCAATACGGAACAAGAGAAAGATGCCCACCAGTTAATTGTATTGAGCCGTCTTGGAACTTGGACAGTGTGCACATTCGTGGAGCCTTTAAAGAGCGCTCTCATCTGTGTTACCTCATCCAATACCCCAGTCATCTAAAAAGAGACCAGAATGGTGTATCACAGCTTTAAACACCTGGGAAACCACTGCGTGGTACTCACAGGAAACACGAGGAAGTCTTTTCCTATACTACCACCCTGTATTGTATTGACCCAACTTTCCTAAGGTACTCACTCAACAGCTACATTAAGGCTGGGCACGGAAGCTCATACTGCAATGAAATGCAGAACTCGACCCCTATAAAATGTGAGTATCTTAATTAGCTTATTACCCAACATTCCCAGTAGGGCTAAATTAAATAATAGATGCTAGAGTCCAGAAGGACCTGGTGTAGGTGATAAATAAATGGTCACCACGACTTAATCCAAAGTCAGTTACCAAATTCACCACCTAAGCTCAGAATAATTGTGCATTAGAAATTGTGCATCGTTCCCATTGGGAAGGTGTGGTTGCCAGGACAGTGTCCTCCTCAATCTGTAGAAGGCCCGTTGCAAGGGTTTTCCCACTTAGCCTCAGCCAGTGGGCTGCATTGAGCTTCGTGCCCACTGGGAGCAGCTGGGTTATGAAGCCTGAGCTCCTGAGCTCCCTGAGCCACTCTTCATCAAGCTGTCTGTCACACTTTTGGATTCCTGAGGGTTCGGTGGCAGGTGGGATCTTGGGGTTCCATCTAACACCTCTCGGAGCAGAGGAGAAAACCCAAACCTGGGGAAGTAAGCCCCGTTAGTATCACGAGTAGGATGAGTGACTTTGCAGAGCCTGTAGGTCCCTCAGGAATGCCCAGGCTTCACGCAGGTGATCCGTGGGCAGACTTGGCTTACTTATGCACTTGAACACATCGGAGTCTTGGTGATGACCATGCACCGTGGCGTCCTGCATCCATTTGTGATCACTGTACATAGCACTGTGGATGTATGTGGATATAGCACTGGGATTATTAGACCCCGCACACACTGAATTTCTTCATTTTTTTTACTCTGACATTAAAACAAAACCAGTGTGTAGCTAGTGTAAGTCTTCAGAGTGAAGATTATTTTCTTGATTTTTGGATTCTGCACATAAAGACTTTCTGGTCCCTGCTCTGAGCACTTTATGTCATGGAACTGCCCTCTCCCTTTGCCCCGGAACTGGTGAGGTTCCCAAAAGTGGCCATTTTTGTATCGACTAAGTGATCACTGGGGGCTGGTTTCTGCTGACCATGTGCTTGGCATTGTGAGCAACTCTGGGAGCAGTCAGGAGCCGTCTGTCTGGAACAGGGAGGTGACAAGTAGAGATCGCCACAAGGGGGATGTAGATGTGGTATTAGGGGCTTTCGAGGAGGGAGGAATGGCTGCTGGCTGGGACAACCAATGGCTAGTTTGAGTTTTGAAGAAGGTTGCAGGACCTCAGAGGATGACGACTTCCCTTGGAGGGAGACTCCAGAGTGGAGAAGCACCCTGGAGAACAGGGCCTGGGAGAGCAGGGGTGTGGAGACCTGCGGCTCAGGGCGGCTTGCGGGAGCCAGGGCTGAATCACTGTGAATTATGCAGAATCTGGAGGGGAAAGAGTGTGGGCCAGAGCTTGCAGGGTGGTCTCTGGCTGCAGGTCCACATCTATGTGGTACACACACACACACACACACACACACACACACACCACACCACACACCACACACCACAACAACTGAGCACAAATAAACCACACCTAGTTTTGAATTATGCGCGGGATCTTTATTCTTTGGTGGCATTGGGAAATGGATGCCCAGGGTGCTCTACACTGAACTACATTCCAAATTGTTTCTATCTTGAGACAGGTGTTAGGTTACAAGGCTGGCCTCAAGCTTGTGATCCTCCTGCCTCAGCCCACCAAGTAGCTGAGGTTATGGGTGTGTCCTACCACTTGGGTTTAAAATAACTTGGTGTAGACTTTTCTCCATAGGTTAGGACATCAGAATGTCTGGCTGCTGAGGTCCTGAAGTCACTGTATACCTATAGAGAAGTCAAGCTTCTAGGCAGCAGGCTGAATGGCTAAGATATGCAGAGCAGCTGTCTCTGGCATCCTTAGACATCCAGCAGCCTGATCCACACAGATCACATAGGTCAAAAGTTGTCTTCTTAGAGAGATGTGGAGCGCAGCTTGTCTCAGCATCATATTGAGCCCTGCTTCCAATAACCCTGTTAACCTGTGCCTTTCTTTCATCATTTCTTGCAGATGGTCACAAGAACAAAGAAAATATTTGTAGGCGGATTATCTGCGAACACAGTAGTGGAAGATGTAAAGCAGTATTTTGAGCAGTTTGGCAAGGTAAGCCCTGTGCAGGATTGGACAGCACATGTCAGAGGCAGCCTGATTGCTCCTTAGGGTGGGCTTCTGTGGCCCCTGCCTCTGTCACAGCTGTGTCCTAAAGAACCTTACCTTGAACTTGGCCATCATGAGTTCAGTGAAATGTGATGGAAGAGGCCAGCTCCTTGTCAGCACAGTGCTCATGTGCCTGTCGGGGCCACAGAGTGGCCTTTCAGCATGGATTTGCCGGTGTGGGTCTAGGCTGGGAGTGGAGGGTCAGGACTCAGGGATGGGGCTCTTGGGGAGCTGCTAGAGGCCTGTGAACTGGACCAGCCCTCTTCATTCTGTGTCTTTCTGGAAAATACATGGAGAGACACAGCTCCCTAGGGCCTTTGGCAGCTCAGCCAACCCTGTCGCCTATGTCCAAGGAGACCAGGAAAGATGCTGACCAGTGCCTGTCAGTGCTTTCTGACCTGAGTGCCTGTGAGACAGCAGCGAGATGATCCCCTGGCTCTACTGCTGGGACAGGCTGGAGCTGAGAGCCCCAGATCAGCAGGAAGCTGAGGGGATGAGGTACACACATGACAGATGGAGGATCAGGTGGAGAGGTGTGCTGAGCGCCTACGGTGATGTGCCCGAGTCAGCCTCCTTCCCATTGGAGCCACGGCACGGACCCTTCCCGCGGGCCTGGCCTCTCCTTGGCTCTGTGTGGCTTCTCTCCTCTGGTTGTCATGAAAATGCAGATCCAGGGAAGCCGGAGGTTGAGGGCTGAGCTGGAGTCTGTCTTCCCTTCCAAAGGGCAACACAACCTCCTCAGAAGACACGGTGCCAGTTCTGTGCTCATTGACTCCCACGGTGGCTGTCAGGCCTGCCAGAGGGAGAACGAGGCCCTGCCACCCACGGGCCAGCCTGGAGGTTCAGTGCTTTTGAATTGTCTGCCCCAGGCAATGGGTGGCTGTGACTCCATCCCCAGGTGAGAGCCCTAACCTTTATTTAGCCTCCAGATGGGGGTTTTCCTGCCTTGCATTTATCAGAGACCATGCTTCGCATTCCTTCAGGCTGGTTCTGAGGACTGGGCCAGTGTGTTAGTGACCACGCATGTCTAGTACCTCTCTTCCAGTGATTTAAAGCACTGAGGAGATTTGTCCATCACCCAGCTCCACCCGGGAGTGGAAATAATGAAATGAGACAAGTCCCTCTTGCATAATGGGGAGCTGCGGAGGGTAGGCCCTTGTTACTGTCTTCCTACCTTTAAAACACATCCAAGGGTAGTGTTTGCAAACAGGAGGCAGGATTTCTTTTTCGAGCCATAACCTGTCTAGGAATCTCATGGGCCTGTTTGTAGGTGTCAGGGAAGTTGACGCTGCTTAGCCATTAGAGTATTCCAGACAGGCACACACTTGCCAACACACAGTGCATCTCCACACGCCCCCCATCCCTTGGGCGCCTTTCTCTCCCCCGCTTCCCCCTTTCTTTCTGCTTGTCTTGGGCTGCTTTTCATGAACACTTACAGTCATGATCCCTTATGCCAGCAGTGGGATGCGCGGCAAGCTTTGGCCATGCCCTCGGCAGCTCCCGGGCGGGCCCTGAGAACAGTTGTCCTTTTGTCTGGGAAGCAGTCACGAAGTGTCTTCCCCAGCACGGCACTTGCCTGATGCAGCCCAGTGAGTTTTGAACTAATGTGTGTGGATTCCTGCAGGGTGTGTAGACTTACCGAGGGCTCCATTCAAGGACTTGGGAGGCTTTTGGATGTATCGAAGCCTTAACAGTCTCTCTGCTCGTGTGTCAGCAGCTTGCTTCATACATAGCTCTGCTGCTTTTCTGGGTCCTTTCAGAGGAGCTTGTTGTGAGTTTGCTGGTGGCTGGTATGACATCTGTGGTCCCTTGGGCAGGGTTCACCAACCCTCAGGAGTCTGCTGTCATTCATTTGAATCCAGAATGATCAAAGTAGGGAGAATCTGCTGCTAGGCCTTAGGGGCCATGAAAAGATCCAGCAGCCAAGGAAGGACGTAACAGACATATGAGGAACTGGCTCTGCCCCTCAGTAGTTTACATTCTGGTTGAAGGAAGCAAGACATACTTTTGCATGTGTGTGTGCGCGCGCACACACACACACACACACACACGCATGCATGCTTGCCCATGCTTGAGATATGCCTACATTTAGGCATACACGTATGCATTCATGAAGTTGTTTGTAGCCATCTTCCAGCCAGCTGCGATTAGTGAGGTGTAAATTCTGTTATTTATAACGAATGCTCCTTCACTGTCACATTCTGGGCCAGGCTTTCAGCTCCCATTATCTCCTGTTGTTTTTCTGTGGGAGGCTGCTGCTGGTGGCCTTCCCAGGTTGCACATTGTTACATGGGGTCTGGGTAGGTCTGGCTAGGACTGCGTCGCTTCCTGAGAGCTAGAGCTGGATGCAGGCTCCTCCTCCTGGGGTTGTCAGATAAGAGGACCGGCAAGGTTCTAGGCGCTGTTCCGTGCTGCCCTGTCTCCAGGAGAGACCGGGGGTGGTGGTGGCTGCAGAGGACTGGAGGAGATGGCGTCCCTCCGCTGTGCCTTGGGCAGCAGTACTGAAGGCCTTGGACATTTATCTCCTCCTTCCACCTGCACAGTGGATGGTGGTAAAGCACAGGTGGACAGTAACAGCCGGGGGGCAAAGTCAGCCGAGGTGACCCAGGTAAGGCAGGGTAAGAGCCAGAGCCACAACCTACTGCCTCTTCCCCTGCCGCTAGGCTCCCTGTCTTCCCCCGCCTCCCAGGCTCCATGCAGGGTGTGCTGCTTTGGGGGTTTCCTCACCATCACTCCTATCTTCTGCCTCTTCCTTCCTGCCTGTGTGGCAGCCACTCCAACTGTTTATTTCAGGTGGCAACCAAGATGGTAAGACTGTTATCAAGGGGCTGAGCTAAGGGAGTTTCAATATGTCATTACCGTAAGTGGAGTGGGTACAGAATGACACACCGAGAGCTTTAAATAACTCAAATTGGAGCCTTGTAAGCCCTTCGTGCTTTGGTCCCACCTTCCTTGCAGAGAGCTTAGCCTTCAGGTTAGAGACCTCGCCACTTGTTTATGTCAAAAGGAGATCATGGAGTGTGGCTCTTGGTGCAAGGGTGCCGCTGACTGGGGTGGCTGTCCTGCCCCCGGGTGGCTGTGCCAGTGCAGTCCTTGGAGAAGGGTCAGGTGGACAGCCAGTCCACTGCTGAGCCTGATGGGGTGAGCCCCTCGTGACACAAGGCGCTGTACTTGTGGGCCTCAGTTTCTTTTCTGAGGGAAGGAGTTGAGAAACTGACAGAGTTAACACACTTGTGAAGATACGGGCTGTGCCAAGCGTGGGGTCTTAACTGAAGCTACTCACTTCTGCTGTGGGAGGGTGACAATAGCTATAACCAAAGTGTCATCAGATGGGTGTGGCCATGCACAGCATAAAACCTTATCTATAAAAAGAGATGGCAGTTAGGTTTGATCTGTGGGCCGTAGTTTGCTGACCTGGATAAAATAAGTTCCCAGGAGGTTTTACGCTTGGAAAATCAGTAATGTAAAAAACCGGAAAAAGTTTAAATATAAGTAGCTTCTAATTCAAGGCATCTATAGACTGCAGCCTAAATAATACATTATCAGAGGTGGTGAGCGTGGTGTATAATAAGCAAAACTATCTTAGCCGTGTTAGTTTATTTCTGGACTTCATGATGCAGGAAAAGTGATGGGATTCTTTATTTGGAAGAAGGCACTATTTATAAACTGGAATCCTCAGCCTGTGAGAAAGACCCAGAAAAAGCAGCTTGTTTCTTGCATCTTTCTGCTCCACGCACTGCACAAATCAGTGAAACTTGGGATCGTGGGGTTCAGATTTTAGTATGAAGACATTTTCACTGTGTGTTAATATTTCTAAATTAGAGTCATATGTGCTTGGTGCCAAGCCTCGAGTGCCTCTTACTATGTGCCTCTCAAAGATGGGTGACATAGCTCTTTATGTAGGGGCCGAGAAAGGAGGAGTTAGGATCATGTCGCCCAGGCTGGGAGGGCACGTGGGGTCCCTCAGCTTTGCCCCACGTTCCCCTGACCTGTTCTCCTTGTTTACAAACCCCAGCTACCATGTCTTCCTCTGGGGGAGCAGATTTTGTTCATTTGTCAAAAACGTTGATCATGAGTAATTTATTTAACTTCCTTGGCTTCTTGTGGACATTATCTGGGTTGATGATTTCATATACACAGGAGTGATAGATTTAGGCCATTTCAAAAAATGGCAGGTAAATGATGCTCTGATACGCCCCTGCCGCCCCAGACGATGGATTGGCCTGTTCTCCACACACAGCCACCCTGAAGAGCCCGGCTTTGTAATTAAAATGTAGCGGATCAAAGAAACTCCATGTACATTGGTTTCCCTCTTCTCCCCTTCAGGCCCCTCCTTCAAGTACCAGTTTCTTACATTCTCACTTATAGGATTTTGGAGATCAAAAAGAGGCCTTTTAAAGTGACTGAAGCCTCTGCTTTATCCAGAATGGAGCGGTTCCGCACCTCCCAGCTGCCTCCCACAAGGACAGGGCTCCTCGGGTGCCCAGCTCTCGAGGTGACAGTGGCTTTATAGGACTCCCATGAAAGCCAGGCAGCCTGCGTGTGGAGGCTTCCAATTATACTTCACATGGTGAACTGTGTAATTAGTTTGGAAGACTTATGCTTAGTCATTGGTTTATCCTAATCGGCTTTGGCTTTCCCCAACAACAAAGTGAGCTTATTTTGCTAAGCTGAAACGACTCTGCACCCTTTGTCCTGCCTTTTATTGTCTCATTCCTTTCATTCTGTTTTACTGCCAAAGTTCTGTTTCATTAGGCCTACAAGTCATTTCCAATTCAGTGGGCTGCTACAATCCGGCCTTTATCACTAGGCTGTCCTGGTTCCCATGTCCCTTCTGGGCTAGTGCCCGGTCTGTGGCTTGATGGGAGGACTTTAACCCCTTCTTGGGCCAGCTCATGGCTATGAGAGTGGAAGAAGAGGCTACAAGGAGATTGGGAAGTCACAGC